AAACTTTTTTTTTGTGTTCGGGATAGTGCAGGGGAGGATCAGAACCCTTGTGAAGTTTTCAATGCATTTATCATGTTGCATTTATTACTCGGTAAAACTTTTAGCTGTGACCACTGTGCTGGGAAATCCAAAATTTGACAGTTGTCACCAAAGTAAGAAATAAGGTTAAATCTTCTAATGGAGAAACCTTTTGGGGTGACAACTGTCTAAGAACAAAGTGTCCTTCACTTTGTAGAGATTTTCTCTCACTTCCTGCTGCATCTCTGGAAAAGATGTAAAGGGAAATCTCCCCAATGGGACACTGACCGCAAAACACTGGCAAGGGTTTTAATCCTTCCCTACTAAACCCAAACCTAAAAAAAAGTATACTCTTCAAATGTTACTAGAAGCCCTTAGGGTACCACCTGCTAAACTGCACTCTATATTTTCTGTATCAGTTGAGGCACTGCTGCAGCACACAGTCCACATAAAAGACCTCAGATGGACATAACCTTACATTATACAGTATTATTAAAGTATTATAAAATTCTGCTGGTGATTTTTATCTAGTGTAGAGTTCTTCAGTTCAGCAAAAGTTAACTTGAGCTGCTAATTGCAAGGAATGGGTTACTGGCTTTGTCAGCAAGATAATGAACAGAAACATCGCATACCCAACTCAGTGACGTGTGCCAAGCCTGGCGTGGGAGTTGTGTGAGAATTCTGAAAGCACAGTCACATTAATGGGGTTTCTAGTTTAGCACCAGAAGCTGGCTAGCAGGAATACCCCTGCAGCCAAGTCCTCATGCTAAGTGAACCCGCTGCTCTGTCCTTCAGATCTATTGCTACTGATGACTTTGTCCCAGATGTCTTAGTAAACGAGTCCATCTGAATTCTTGTTTGTCTGCGATGCTGTAATGGTTTATTGTGAATGGCATGATTGTCAGAATTCACAATCTAGTTTTTACAAAGATATAGTTTCAGCTCAATTGATAGCTATATCTTTTTTTGTCTAGTTTGAGTGTCGTACCTTTAGAGGTCATGTAGATGGACATTCATAAGAACAGGTTAACAGGTAGAAATACATACACATTGCAATAACCTGAAGCAGCCTATCAGAATCTGCCTCCTTTTTTAACAATACTAGATAAGGAACAATTAAGGTATGTACGCATAGCATATTTTTACAGATGTGTTTACCTTTGAACACATTACCTGCAAGCAGGTGTGTAAAGCAACCAATATATTCTTCAATTGGCAAAGAGCTATTGAAATGCTTGATCCCACTTTTCACCATTGGTCAGGTAGTTTTATTTCCATAATAATGAACCAATAGTGAGGCGTGGGAGAGAGTGGCACAAAGCACAATGCCAGGAACTGAAGTTTGCGTTTATGCATTTCCAAGGCTCCATGGCATTCTAAAAGGTATGCAAACATAATTGCAATTTTCTTTAGATGCCTGCTATTCACCTTTTTGTAGTCTTTCTACAGGATCCTGATAGTACCTCTAATTGAAAATACAATATTACTTGTCCATCTGGAGATACTTCAAACTCAGGCATGCACTTTCAGGAATCTTTTAACTAAGAGTTGTGTCACATCCCTCTCTCCTGTTATCCCTCACGCCAGCAAAATTCCCCTCTATTGCTTGCTGAAGGCCCCTGTGGGATTGTGAGATAGCAGTGGAGAATTACAAAACTTCAAACTGGAACAAATTCAATATTCTTGGGTTCTTTGTTTTTTCATTTTTTCCCCCTGTTAATGTGCTGTCTTCTCTCTTAACCTACTCAAGCCTCACACATAAATTGGTGCATGCCAAGGAGGTTTCACAGTACAGAATCTTGTACTATGATGCTGCAGTCCCTATTTGGCACATGAGGCTTGCTTAAAGTACATTTATATGTAAAGCCAATGCTATATTTTATAGTTTTGGATAGTGTAGGGGAGGTTTAAAACCCTCACGAGGTTGTTTTCTCTTTGTGCTCCATTTGGAAGAACTACCTTCACTTCCTGTCTCAAAGACAACACTCTCTTTGAAATAAAGTAAATCCTCTTTTAGACAGCTGTCACAGGAAAAAAAACATCTCAAATAGAAGTTTCTCTCTTTATTCCTAGTCTAAAATATTTGATTTTCTCTGATTTGGTCACAGTGGTCACCAAGAGAAATCGAGAGTAAGTCAGGGACACAGACAGCAATAAAAACCTGACAGGAACTTTAACCATTCTCTACTCTTTGGAAAAAAAATTAAAAATAGAGTGTTGACCTTAGAAACACTTTAGGGTATTTATGCAAGATGTTATAAAATGCAGATTAAAGTGTATGTATGACCAAAACATTTTATCTAGTTTTTGATAGGGAAGTGATAATATTCCTGCCAGGTTATTTTTCTGCTGTCTGTAACGTTAGGACAATTTCCCTTCACTTTCTGCCCCAGAGACACAACAAGAAGTTACATTAAACATCCCAAAGTGTTAAACATTTGTCCCCAGAACAGGTGTCACCATTAAAAGCTCTCCCCTCGACTCTTGTTCTGGGGACTAAAAAATGTTGGATTTTCCCTCACTTTCTGTTACAACTAGAGAAGGACGATCTCCCCAATGAAAACTTAGATAGCAGTGCAACCTTCCTTGAAGGTCTAATGCTTCCCTACTCTATTTAAAGAAAAAAATAATTTTTTGTCCTAGGATAAATTGAGTGAACTTGGCATAGTTTCATGGCTAGTATTAGCAGCTCACTAACTTTAAATTTTGACAATGGTTGCCCATTACTATGGACAGGCTCTAAGTAAAGAGTTCACACTTCCCGTTGTGGCATATTAGTCTGCATTTGTAATTAACATTATCCTGCATCCCCAAGGATAAGGTCATATAGTGGAAACTCTTCCAAAGGCATTTCCAATGTAAAAGCAAAGACTGGAAATCTTAGGTATTTGAGCAATTCTATAAAAGTGGAGGAAGTGAAAAGTGAAGGTGTTATGGCTAACAACCAATCCAATTCTATCCATCATTTTATCATTGTGTGTTAGAAATTGCACATTACAATCTGATATCTCACTGTTTGCAACACCTTATACCTTTCCCCTTCTCCATTTTTATTGAACATCCCAAACTCTAGATTCTGATTGGCTGCTCTTTGTGATACTTTTGTACTAGTGTTTGTGAATGTCCTTCTATGTTCTTGTTTTGTTTGGACATTAATAGCTATAGTTTGTCTCAGTATAGTAATTCATAATTTTGTTAAACACATAACTAGAGACCACATAGATAGTCTAATGTTTTCATTATTTTTGTCATCTTCGTTGTCTTTTCTTTGAAATGCTGAGTCCTGTCATTTTTGTGTATATACTCACGCTGCCTTACTTTTGACTCTTTTCCCTGTCATGCATGCCCAGTTCATCGGCCTAAACCAAAGCCATCACCTGTGCCTCCATCCATTCAAACCCAGGCTAACATGTTAAATCTAAGGCTGAAAGGCATGCCTAGACCAATACCAAGTACTGTATCGGCTTTATTTCATTTGATTTGTTTAGCCTAGCCTCTTTCCCCTCTTCCCCTATTCCTTCAGTGCTGGAAGGACCCACAATGCATTGCGGCACATATCAATGCATTGCTGGCTACTCCCAGCACCCTAGGAGTTAACATAGCTTAGTTTTTTAACATCGGCCTTCAAGCACTTCTTCTCAATTTGTCCATTCCTGTCTAGATCTGTCCGGCACCAGCAACATTTTCAAATATGAATGTCAGCACAAAATAACATTGTTGTTACATAACATTCTGCATGATGTTTATGAGTTTCAAATAATGTCTGAACAGTTTATTTTTTATCAATATACTGTTTATTTCTTATGTGTCAGTGATCCAGCTGTTAATCCAACATTTCCAGTGCCAATCAGCTATTTTATATTCAGTTATACCTTCTGGGCTCTGTGATATACAAAGAATTGTTAAAATAATATAAATAAGGAAAAAGAGACTGGGCAATCAAAAAAGGTATACATACACTAAACATCAGGTCCAATCAATTAGATAATGTATGTATATGAACAGTGTTATCTGCCGTAAAGTAATGCACATCTCCTCCATCCCTGCAGAGAGTGACAACACTTTTCAGAGTGTTCAGTAATACTTACCCCCCGTCACTCCCAAAACCCTCTTCTCCTGGTCTTTGGACTGTAAGGGGAACTATACTGATGATGCTCACCCTATGTATAGGCTTGCATGAATATCAGGACCTCTGGCTGATCAGGCAACTAAAGTCAACCTCCTAAAATCTTCCTTGTCTGCCTGGACAATTGTCACTTGACCAAGAGCCAGACCAATGCAATATTACTGTTATTATAGAAAAAAAAATATTTTTTCCCTTTCATTAACTTTTCCTTAGACCTTGCAAGATGAATGTTCAAATATAGTAACAGACATCATTTTTCGGTATAGCTTTGTCTTAGGCAGCATATGGTCCAAACATACATCTGTGTAAAGCTCTTGTAAGCACAATGGGTGCCACTGATGAAAAAAACTATTTAAAAAAAACTACAGCACCCACTCAACCGTACAGAAAAAATAGTCTTTAATAGTTCTCTGATAATAAAATTAACACTATGTTCATCATTATCTTGTAGTTCTGCCATGTTAATTTAGCTCAGTTGTAGATTCAAAAACAACATACACAGCCCAGTAAAATCACAGAAGTTTGACTGAAGTTATAATTGTACATAAAATGGACATTCAAAAACTCTCCAGATTTAGCTGGATTTACAGTTTATTCCAATCATCCACGTTGACAATTATTGATAAGAGTATATTTTACATTTCAGTATAAAGCTGGAGCACTGTTTCTGTAGCTTAACAAAAAAAATTGTGATTTTTATTTTTTATTTGTTAAATATTAATTATTGAGCTTTTTTTAACAAAACATGCATGGATTTATACAGTTTTGGAATATCCTGGATTTTAACTATTCGTTGAAATCTCTACCCAGATTGAACCCATCCAGATACGTTCTAAATAATTTTCTTCTACTTCAGAAAATGTAGGTCGGTTAGTAACTCCTGCCAAAAAGCTTGAAGACACAATACGACTTGCAGAACTGGTCATTGAAGTTCTCCAGCAAAATGAAGAGCACCATGCAGAGGTGAGAATTGCAAGGTTCTAGAATTTGTTGCACATGTGTATTCTAGAGCAGCCTCTAGAATCGTAAGACTTGCTGCCAATTTGTACTAGTGGTGGGAATAGGTAAAATATCATCAACATAATTTTTGTATGTGAAAAATTATACTAGTACTAGAATGCATACTAAAAATTCAAATGTTTATTTATTTGTTTTCCACCTTGGAGGTTGAAGACAAAAGTCTTCTAGGCAGTAGTGTAGGAACTATTCAAAGTCCTAAGTCTTGTGATATTTTGTATTAATTGAAATGATAAAAAGTAATAGAAGGCATAGTATAATGGTAGCCAGTTGAAATATAAATTTTGATGTTAATACATGTTCTACTTTGGTATAAATACTCACAGTGATGATAATGATCAGCACTTTTACTGAAAAATGCAACCCAGAATACATTTTTGTTCACTTTTTTTATTTTCTTGAAACCTATATACATCACCACCACCACCTGACAATATTTTTAATCAGTTATGTATCATAATTTTTAAGTTCAATATTTTTAAATGCTTTTTTTACGCATTATGTATTTAATATAATTTATTTTTTTGTTAAATTGTTATGACATTTTTGATCAATTGGATAGTATTTATAATGTCAGAAAGCCAATCAGTGTGTTTTCAATCACGATTCACTGACATCAGCCAATTCACAGTACTAGAAGTCCAAAAAGACCCAACTAATGCTTGATTTGCATATTTAAATTTCCTCCCTGTTTTTCTACTGTTCTTTCTATCTTGGATGATCCTGGCAGGGAAAAGAGGTATGTGGTTAAACTCAACAAACTGAGTCACCTGCTCTCATATCTTGTGCATGTCCTTCATGTTTCTGATAGGATTTTATCCTTTTTTTGCTTCCTTTGTAGTTGTAATTTAAGTAGAATAGCAGCCAGATCATTTAGACTGCCTGTGGAACTTAGTTGCCCCACACAACTTAAGTGTGCAGTGGTAATCCAGTCCGTGCATGCAGCAATGGGTGTATTATACAAGCATTGCAGCTGTTTCCCCACACATCCCAACCTTCCTTAATCCCTCCTAATCCTCCCGTTTTACCCATGTTAGTTTGTATGCATAATGCAACAATGAAGACAAAGGTGTGGGGCCATGCTTGACATAAAAAGGCTACAAAATGGTTTTAAAATTAATTCGGCTTTTATAAAGTACACTTTGATTACAGTGTGATTTTTTTTTTCTTCGTCCACACTTTGTGGTTGATTTACTTTAAAAAAGTATTTCATATTCTTTTGGCCTGAGGAAGATGTTTTTTGCTTTAAATTTCCAATCATGCAGAGGAGTTTACTGATTTAAAACGCTTGTAGTTGACTTGGTTTTTAAGTAAAAACATGTTCATAAACTAGAATAAAAATGTACTCCTTTGGCAAAGCAACTCTTTTTGTCCAGGGTTAATATTCTTCTTTGGCACGTTTTTTTCAATTGCCCTGGTTATATTGTTAGTGTAGTTGTTCATAACTATTTTGGAAATTAAGATGATATCAATATGAAACACTTAAAACATGTATTATATTAAAACTAGTATATTCTTATTTTTAGATTAATAACATTGGATATGGGTTATCGTATGTGTATATAACAAAATGAATTGCTGTATACTATATATTTTCATTCTGGACTTGATACATGTGTTTATTTCCTTTTTTATGTCTTTCCTTATAGTTGAAACCCATCAGCATTTCAAACTAATTACAATTACAAATAATTTTACTGTGAATTTTTTCATGTGTGGGGAGTGGCAGTGGAGCTATTATATTGACTTTTCAGGTAGATTTTCATAGTTAAGTGAGTGTATGAAAAGGTAAAACAGTGGTATATCTCAATGCCTCGTTTAATCATTTGTACAGCACAGGAAGCCAACTAAGTGATTATTAAGTAGCATTTTTAGATTTCACTTAGCATGCTTGCAGTGCCATATTATGACAAATGTGTGACATAGCTGAAAAATAAATGTAAAAAATATTAGGACTAAATTAATCATGTTACCAAACAGAGTATGAATTTCCCGTGAATGAAAATGTCATTCTGTTCATTAGAGGCAAATTCTCTTTTTTTATTGAGAAATGTTTTAAACTTCGAAAATAAGAAAAACGTCATTCTTAATAAATAAAGAAGCTTGAAGTGTAATTATGTTTAACTCTTGAAATGAGTAAATATACTTACCTGAAAAAAATGTATAGTTCAAATTTTACCAATTGGTACTTCTCACCACAAAAAATATTGAAAGCTTTCTATGCAAATTCAGGACCATGTCCAACATGGCCTTGGCAAGTATAGATATGTTGTTTTCTTTCTTATTCATGGACATACAACTAAAGCTACTTCACAATGAAAGGAATGATTTACATTGTAGGCTGCCATTGCTGACCTACCTGTGAAGATGCTAGTTGCAATACTGATTATTATGACATCAATATTTTGGGATTGATTTAGTAAGAGTAGAGATTGCTTACTTAGGAAAGAGAATATTCACTTACCTTAGTGAGTAATGTAAAACTGTGTTTACTTCAGTCAACCAATGTGCAATCAAATATCTTTATCTTTACCTTGCACATAATTGAGTATTCAATGTGATAATAATTTCACATTAGCTTAGGGAAAATTGACAGTCTCAACTCATTTTACTAAATCAACTCCTTTGAGTCACCGATCTAGAAAAAAGATCAGAAGTTCTGACACTGTGACATCACTTGCTACGTGTTTGTTCAAGTGTAGTGACTCCAGAAGCATTGGGGCAACAGACTGCCCGGCAATTAGTATTTGCAATGGCAACCCACATATTTTTCTCTGTTTGTTTTGTTTTAAAGGGCATGTTTAGCTTTGAATAATGTACATTTTTATTGATTCTGCAGAAACACTAACTAGAACAGTGTCAGACGCAGGAAGATAAACAAGAGAAATGGACTTTAGAATAGGACTTTAGAATACTAGGGACAACATTTTATCTTTGTAATTACAATAGCTCTTTTCTGCATTGTGCTGAAATGGGATTCCTACAAATTTCATTCAATGCAGGTACACATACAGTCTGGTACACCAACAAAATATTGAAGCTATGCAAGCTTTAAAATAGCATTGTTGCACTTTAGTGTTCTTGTATGTACCTATATCAGTACCTGTTTCTAGTCCCCTCACCAGAACATTGCTACATTGATATACTAGAAAGAAGTGGTTTATTACCGGATTTTGGATTTTGTTAATAAAAGTACAGATAAAAAAAAGTACTGATAAACATTTAGATGGCTGATTCAAATGTTAAACTAAAACCAGTGCTATATGATGTATTGTTACCCAAACATTAAAGAGTCTTCTCACTCCTCTGAGCAGTCACCTTTCAGGTATTCTGCTGGATTTACCAACAAGTAAATTATTATCTATAGCTTGGGTAACACTTCATCATATAACATCAGTTTGAGTTGAAATTTCATTCAAAATATCTTTGCACCCTCCTTCATTACCAGGGAGCAATATTCTATGTGGATGCACAGCATACATACCCTTATGCTGCTGGTACAGTTCTGGGACCACAATGACTCTAGAACATTGAATTGATATACTAATGGATGGACAGTTGGAATGATCATGTCATTTGGGTGCATTATTAGTATAATCAAAACATAAAGTGTGTGGTACTGGTATAATTTTGGCATGAGGGTATAATCAAGATCGAATGGAGTACTGACAAACAGACATGGACAAATGTGTTGCTACCTTGACAGCTCATTCAAACAATGCTTTATTCTTCCTGAAAAGTGACAAAAAAAAACAAAAGCATTTGTCTCATGTATACCTGCATGCCTTTGGTATGTCATAGAGTAATGCAAAGAAAGTGTGAAAAGACATACATTATTGCTTATTCTGCAAATATATTTTGAAATGGCTTGGACAGGTTTGTCAGTACCCAAAGAGAAGATCAAATTAAATAATTGGATCATAGTGATGTTTCAAGCTAACTGTTTTCTGTGATTAGCATCACTCATGTCTTCAGTCTTGTAATCAGTCAGTCAGCCTATTTAAATAGAAAAAAAGAGTAGTCCCTCTTCTGTTTAGTATCATCATGTTCCCCACACTGAACATGAACCAGAGAAAGCAAAGGAGAGAACTTTCTGAGGCGATCAGAAAGAAAATTATAGACGAGCATGTCAAAGGTAAAGGCCATAACATAATCTCCAAGCAGCTTGTGTTCTTGTGTGAGTTACAAATATAATTAAGAAGTTTAAGACAAGCTCCATACAAGAGGAGAGAAGAGGAATTCAATTCAGATTAAACAGAAGGATAGTGAAATTGGTACTCAAAGAGTCAAGAAAAACTTCCAAAAGATACAAGCTGAACTCCAAGGTCAGCGACTGTTTGAGCGATAGTCGGATAGTAGGTTTAAAGGAAGACTCCATGTTGAAAGAAAACCAAAAAACTAGCCTGAAATTTACTAAAATGCATTTTGACAAGCCACAGTGTTTCTAGAATGTCCTTTGGAAAGCTGAGACAAAGATGGAGCTTTTTGGCAAGTCACTTTCAGCTCCATGTTCACAGATGAAAATAGAAGCTTTTAAGGAAAAGAACACCATACCTACTGTGAAACATAGAAGATGCTTGGTTATGTTGTGGGGCAGCGCAGTGCCTTCAGCCTGTGCAGGGCAATAAAATCTCAAGACTATTAAGGAACGCCAGAGCGAAATTTACTGCCCTGTACCAGAAAGCTCTGTCTCATTTGCAGGTCATGGGTCTTCCAACAGGATAATGACCCAGAATACACACAGCGAAAAGAACCCAAGAATGGTTAAGAACAGAGCATTGGACTATTCCGAAATGGACTTCCTTGAGCCCTGATTTGAATCCTTCCCAACATCTATGGAAGTTGCTGAAGAAGAGAAGACACCTTTCAAACTTGAGAGAGCTGGATCAGATTGCTCATGAAAATTGGGTTAGACTACATGTCGGCCGGTGAAGAAGTCCCTTTCAAAGTGACAGAAATCACTTGTCTGTAGTGATCACAGGGTGTGCAACAAAATTTTAGGTTTAAGAGTCAAATAATTTTTGCCCACACTATTTTTATTTGTTTTAATATTCAAAATATTATGTTGAATCACAAATAAAAAAACTAATTCTGAATACATATTGAATCAACAACTTCAGAGAAAATTGTTTATGTTTACCATAAGGCACTTGTAGGCCACTGCCTTAGACAGCGGGGTAACCGAGAACAACACCAAAGCCCACCATTTAAAAATTCCTTGAATTATTTCTGTTTATGCCATTATTACAGTGTCTGTAACAAGCTACGGGGGCTTTGGTTTCTAGAACAGAAGGAAGAACAGAACATGCTTTCAGATTTGTATTAATGCGTTTAAAGGAAAACTATAATGGTTTTGGGTCAGTTGTATTTCAATGACCTAAGTCTACACTTTTTTATACTGATGTTTAATATTTTGCATTTTTTATGAAATCTCTATTTTGCAAATAAATATTTTTTACTGGGTGAATAAATTACATTTTTTTTAGAGTACTTTGGGTTTTCTAAATAGAGAGAACAGCAGTAGCTTCTTCCCTCAAAACTGGACTTCCCTTAAATTCTATATGAAGCCTAAGAGCTTGTTCACACTATCCAATGCGTTCACGGCACAGTTCCATGCCATGAATGCATTGGATCGCATCAACAAAGCCTCCCTGTGTTCTGGGGCAAGAGGGGATGTAGTGGTGCCATTCATTTCAATGGCACTACAGACACACCTCCCACCCGCAGTGGGATCACCCACACCGGAACACGTGGTACCGCCATGCCCCACTGCCAGTGCGGTGGGATAGCAAGAAATAGTGTCTGCGGTGCCATTGACATGAATGGCACCACCACACCCTCTCCCGCTGTGAACGCATTGGATAGTGTGAACAGGCCCTGACAGAGAAGGAAGGAGAGGAGATGGGTCACTTCTCACTAAGTCACCTGAGGTGCAATTTTAACTTCAGGTATTCAGCTCTGTAAACAAGGATTTTTTTCAGCAGAGCAGTTAAGGTTAGCCTGGTAAACATTAATGGAGCCTAGAGCTGTGCTTGCTGAATGCAAATAGAAAATAACAAAATTATATATTTCATAAAATATTTACTTGTCCTCAGGATAAAAAGAAAAAAGAGAACAGATACAAAATTGAGGCTTACTGAGGAATTGCTAATGCTATATGATTAGCTTTAGCATGATGAACATGACATCAAGCTCGCTAATTGCTAAAGCACTTGTCCAGAATGCATGCACACAAGAAGTTCACAATCTTTTTTTTTTCTAAGCTGTCTGTAATATTTCTAGCTTTGAATAGGCTTAAACATAACTGTTTGCTATGGCTGACAAAGGGTTGTACAGCTTCTTTTTTTGTTCTGCCTGCTGCTTTTCTTCTGGTTAGAAATAGTCCTTAAAATTAGAAATTGTGTTTATAAACTGTGAATCATTTACATACAATGTTTGAATTCCAAATTGATAGATAATATATATTTCGTATGCGATGGATGGAAATTTAAAGTATTTCTGAAGCCGAAACTTTTTTTTTTGTTTAGGTAGAGTAGGGTATAATTAAAATCACTTTTGGTTTAGGTAGAGTAAGGTATCATTAAAATCACTTACAAGTTTTTTTTTCCTTTGCTTCCTTTCTCAAGACACAACAGTATGTAAGTGCAGACCTCTCCAATGTAAGGGATATCCTCTCATAGATAGTTGTCTTGGAACTAGTGTCCCTGTTCGAAGATTTCCCCTTTATTCCTAACCTAGTAACAACTCAAAAATATTAGCTATTCCCTAACTAATGCTCACCAGGACAAATAGAAAATATTGCTTTTAGATACATGTTAAAAAAACAAATATTCTTAAAAATAAAAAAGCTAGTTTCTAGATATTAGATATGTGATAGACTTGTGGAAGTAAAATAGATGCATAAAAGTATACTTGATACATATTGACAAATAACAGCACTATTTCCTGGGCTCTAATTAATGTGTTGCTTTTGAGTCCCCTTAGCTTCCCCCTTCATTAGTATTAGATATGCTATAGAGTTGTGGATGTGAAGTAGAAGCATAGAAATAGAGTGAGAAATTTATGAATAATGATACATATTGAGAGATAACAGCAGAGGCACAGCAATGTTTCCTTTGCCCTAATTCAAGGATTGCTTTTATGTACCCCTTCAACATCAGTATTTTAAACCTCATCACCATCTGAGTAAGGCACCTGGATGCTTGAACTGCAATAATCTATCCTTTTTCCTCTAGGCCAGGTAGTTTTTGCTCTGTACCTTCTGCCCATATAATTGACATCTGCGTTAGCCAGTCAGAGAGAAAAGCACACACAGTACAATTCCTGTTTTTAGAGGTAAATGTGTATACCTGTGCTTGCTTTCAAGGCAAGGAAAACCATTGGAGCTATTCAGACACATTTAGGAAAACCATTGGAGCTATTCAGACACACATTGGCATGCCCGCTTAAAGTGGAGCTGAAATGTGGAAGCTGTGCTTCAAAAAAAGGCAATCAGGGATCACAGAACTATTCACCAGTATAGCCTATAATCTCCCTGCAGATGATTTTTCTTTCTATTACTGACTTACTATGTCCTTTTCCATACAAGGTCTCTGTGTATCAGTGGTCATCTTAGTAGTAGAGTAGGGCTTTGCCTCCTCAACTCAACACTGCCCCGCTGATGACTGGTGAGCTAATGACTGGTGGGGTACTATTCAAGATAAAGTAGAGGGAGGAAAGAAGTCCAGATACACAGAATGAATGAAGCAGAAGCACATCCTTACTGTGCAGCTTTCTCTCCAGCAAGGAGAACAGGGAATAGCACAGTAGTGACATTGCCAAATCTCAGTTTAAATTTCATGAGACTGACAGTTAAAGGCAGCAGTTCTTAGATGATCTCTCTTTGCAGATACTGTATACAGCTATGAGGAGCATGGTACAGGAGTGCCTAGGCACAGGAAGCACATTGCTAATTTTTCAAGATGAATTGAAGACAAAATTGAATTTTCAGGGTACTATTTAGGTACAATTACCTTTCAAGTTGTTCCCTATATGATAGAAGATTTTAAATTTTCAAGTTCAGGTCCACTTTAAAGTGACGTTAAACCAGTGGGTAGTGTGTTTGTCTGTGGCTACTGCAAATTATGTGACCGACTCTGCTGCATAATAAATGAGTAGATAGATGATAGTAGATATTTTTACAAGGTAAGTGATCACAAACTACATATAGGTAATAATATTTAAATATTTTATCTTGGCAATACTCAGGTAAAAACATAAATGTTTATTTTTTAATGTATAGCCAATACTTGTAAAGATGACTGATAGATAGACTTCACCTTGTTAAAAAGTTCAGGTTTTTTTTCTCTGCGTTTTACTTGACTTTAGTCATCTGGCTTCACAAGTTATGGCTCAGGCCTGCTGGTGTGGAGCCCGAGATGAAGTATTATGCTGATTAATTTTCTGGTCCTATCAGAATTTCAAGGATGTGCTATCCCTGAACACTTTGACAAAGTCTGGCTGCCAGACAAGTGATTATGAATCGAGGAGAATTATCACTCATTCTGCATGCCATACTCAGTTACAATGATAAAACACGCATGCGTCTCTAACACATTCACATCTCTGCACTGTACGATGTGAATGGCACTCTGGTAAAAACAACCTATATTTTTAGTTGAATTTCCCATGAGCATGATGTTGAGTTACTTCACTGGAATATGGTAAATGTTAAGTGTTTAGAGGTTTAAATGTAATCAAAAATTCTCTGATGCTATTTCAAAGCTACGGCTTTTGGCTAGCAAGTCTAAATATTTTTGATGGATTGCCAAACATGCAATCAGGGACTACTAGTCATCTTCAGAATTTGTGGAGGGAAAGAAAAGGATAAAACAAGTCAATTCAGTGAAGAAACTCAAGCTAAACTCCCAAATTTCTAGACTACAGAATGATATGATTGAACCTTGAACTCTGAGCATGGCCTCAGGCAACCCTGGTGTCATTGTAAAGGGAACAGGTATTTTTGGTTTTCTTTTACCTTTCAACCATAGCCTGGTTTTCCCTTGCTGTCCTCTTTACAATGATGATTGTTTTATTAATTCCAATTATTTTGCATTGTGTCCTGGTTAGAAAAAAAATACTTTCAGTTTTTTGTTTTGTTTTTAGTTTCACTGATTTTCTTCTTCACTTTCCCTCTACCAAATTTAAAGGCATTTGCTTGGTGGTCAGACCTTATGGTAGAACATGCAGAGACATTCCTCTCACTCTTTGCGGTGGACATGGATGCAGCGTTGGAGGTGCAGCCGCCAGACACTTGGGACAGCTTTCCCTTGTTCCAGCTAATAAACGATTTCCTCCGCATTGACTGTATGTACCTTATTATTTCTTTTTTTCACTTTCTCTTGCTAGGTTATGTTGTGGCGGCTAGCATTCATAGATGTGGAAATCAAGACTGTGTTATGATTAAAAGAACAGTCCTTTCAAAAACTGTTATTTTAGTTCTGGATTGATGCTTACAAGTTTAATTACCCCATTGGAGATAAATGGAGTGCCACACCAAATGTTTAATGTCCAATTGATTTATTTGCACAATGTGTATTAAACAGAAAACCAGCCAGCATGTTTCAGGAACTCAAAGAGACCCCCTTCATTGGGGCTTAAGGAAGAACGCTGGGAAAAAAAGTGTATTTAACCCTTGCAGTGGTGTTACCCCCACACTGCAAGGGTTAAGTGCTCATCTAGGGTGTAAAATAAAAAGGTTTTACTCGCCTGAACGTCGGAGGTGGCTGGCTCTTAGATTGGTCTTTCCTGCCTCTCTCACCTTCTGCTCCAGCAATTTAAGGATCCTTGAGTCATCATGTCCCATACACTGTGTATTGGATGTGAGGACGCCAAGGGACATACTATCACTGCAGTGGAGGTGGAGACAGGCTGAAGGGAACGCTCTAACAGCCAGCCAGCTGCCAGGTACAGGGTGAGCATACCTTTATTATTTTGCGCTCTGTACAGAAATCAGTACTTAAAGGAGAACTATGGGGTTAAGGTTTTTCCCCATAGTTCTCCTTAGAGTAACGGGAGGACACAAACTAGCGTCCTCCCGTCACCCTAGGCTCAGTATACCGCGAGCTGTAGCTCGCGGTATACTGAGGCACCACAGTATACTGCGAGACGTATACTGAGACGCTGAAGCGGATCCCGACAATTATGTCTGGATCCGCCCAGCTGCGTGACTGACAGCTGGCTCTGCCTATCTAGAGGCAGAGCCAGCTGTACCTGCCCTCTCCCACGTTCGTTCCGCCAGTCAGCGCTGGCGGATCGGAGCGGAGAGGGGGGAATCCAGCCCCTCCCCTGTCACGGCAGAGAACCATAACAGGATCGAGAGGTGAGCGAATGCCGGTATGTGTTCGCTCACCTCCCGATCTACTAAGACCTGCGACAGTCTCATTATCACAGGTTGGCTACAACTATGAGGTGAGTGAAAAGCACTAACCTCATAGTTCTCCTCTAACCTTTGCAGTGCGGAAGTAGCACCACTGCATGGGTTAAGAATAATTTTTTCCTGTAGTTCTTCTGTAATATAATGAAATTCCTGGACTGCCAAAGGTGGTAGACGTAAGAGGTTGAAATTCTTGGTGAATCACCAAGTAAAAAGTTATACCTCCCCCACTCTCCCTATTTAGGATTTAATTTATTTTAAAGTGGTAGTTTATATAGATAAAAATGACCCCTATTTAATTCAATTATGTGTACATTATAAAATACTTAAATGTATCTGAATTAGTTCCTGCACTAGCCTTCTTGGACCCCACTTCACAGATGCTTGTAGGCTAAGAGGAAAGAGCAGAACTGTAAGTAATGAGGTTTTTCTGCATTACACAGTTCTGAAAATCTAACTAATGGAGATACAAAACACAGAAATTTCCCAGCAAACAAATTCCTCTCTCTAACAATGTGTTAAAAACAGAGGTTTTAGATGCACAACTTTTGCAAAATATGTGCTTAACCCACGCGGCCTCATCAAGGCTCCTCTGTGTAATGTGGTCCTAACTCTAATCCTTGAGCTTGGCGCATATATAACAGTAGATAAACTGAATGCAGATATGCCTGTAGGTAGCCCACTCCTCCTTAAAGACATAGGAACGCACTGGAGGCCCAGCACATAAAAATGGCAGCTGAAGTCTCCAGTGTATCCCCACACCAAAGAGAGGGCAAAGATTACCATATCATTGAGCTGCTGTTCCTTCACTATTCAATCCCAAATGGTCAGGAAATTGTATAGTTTCTGGCAGGCAAATATGTTTTGGAAAACTTGTATTACAAATATTTTGGCAAGAGAGACAACTCACACTTATGCATTTCATCTATATGTTTATCTGTTTGCCTACACTTACATTGTAAATTATGGAGAACACAATTTGTAGATTGAGGTCCTTTGGCTGCAGTAGAAGGAATAAAACTCCACAGTAGGTGGAGCAGACCCAGGAAGGTCCAAAACAAAGATCTTACAATTTTAGACCCTGAAAATGCCAATAGGCTATTCAACCTACTAGTACATAGCTAAAATATCAGTTTGAGATAGAATGTCCCTTTTATACTTTATATAGAAGCATGCAAAAAGTCTCACTTATCCACATATTAGGGTAACATCTTAATCTTTGCGCTTGTTCAGACTTTATTTATTATGCACAGATCAAATGTTACTTATGAATGCACGGAAACTGCAAAAACAGTGAAATTATATGTTTATGCCAAAACTCTATATTTAATTGTATACACTTGGTCTACATGATAATTGAATTAAAAGAGAGATCAAGGTAAATAAAGGACATGTTTTGTTAGATCTAAAAAAAAAAAAAAAGTTAACATTTTACCCAGTAAGGTTAGAGATAAATTAGTTTGAGGGCATTTAGAGTTTCATAATACATGTTAATATCGCTGGTCTGAATCCTTTTTTCAACTGCACAGTAAATAGAGAAGCCTGTAAACTGTCCAATTATGCGTGTGTGTGCGATGGCCTCTAACAGCGACCTCAAATTATTGGATTCAATATAAAGGATCCTCCTCTCTCCTAAGCAACTCCATCTGCTAGACTGAAAGGAAAGGGTAGTATTTGCTGCACTAAGAAGTAAGCCATCTGCTAATCTAAAGATAATTTGCTGCCTTTTGCCTGCTGTCTTGAAAGTATCAGAAGCCAATTTTCATAACCATTGCTTTTTTCCCCTGAAATATGTCTAATTTAAATGATTTGTTAAATTATGCCTTGCATTACATACTGAAAAAAATAAAACCGATTTAGCAGTAAAACACGTGACTTTTTAGGGTTTTTTCCTTACCCTGATTTCTTATTTCACTTGTATCATTTATTATGTAAATTGTTTATCAAGATAAGGAATAAATCATTGCTGAATTAAAGAATGTTAATGTGCTATTGTCACAAATAAGTACTAAAAAAAAACAGACTTTAAAAGAATGCAATGTCTAGCAAGCTTAGTGACAGTTTAGCTGTAACTAAGGTTCCTGGGATTCAGAAAGCATTGCAGCCTCCAATTATTTTAGCGCCACATTAAGTGGTTCAGCTGTAACCGATACAAACGCAGTGCATTCTTTAAATCAGATCTAAGCAGGATTACATTTAGGGGGTTACTCACTAAAGGGTGAAGAGTTTGGAGAAAGCAGGAGAAGTGAACAATCTAGGCCAATATAGCTGATTTGGAAACATTCTCCAATTTAGCTAATTTTCCATTTCAGCTATTTCTCTAAACTCTTCACCCTTTTGTGAATAACCCTGTGTGTATGAACAATTGCAATCTTTTCAATTAAACACTATTCTTAATTGTTTTGCATCTCAGTGCTGCTGATTTCCTGCAGCCTTTTTTTTGCTACATGCTCTCACTCAGTGGCTGCAAACCATGGCTTCAATTGGTTTACTGATAGTAACGACGATAGACCATGTCTTGGTCAACTCAATCACCTGTAGTCTAACCCTGGGCGCAGGTAAAAGAGTGACAATGCAGGAAAACAATTTGGTAGACAGCTTTAGACCCATAACATGAAGTGCCTGAACAAGGACCTTTATGACTGGTATTCTTTGATGAGGTATTTTTTAATGAAAGCTTAAAGTGATAAAAAACTCAAGAGTAAAATCTTAAAAATGCATTCAAGTCCCTTAACTATTAACAAACATGTATCTTATGTGTGTATCACTCAGCTGTAGATCCTCAAATCATCTCTGGATTCGGGCTGACACTGTCCTTGTCCTGTGTGTGTTGTAAAGTTGCCACCACTTCAAGCTCACTCCCATGATGAACTACAATCTCTCAATTTAGTTAATTTGACAAATTTTTATTGAGATTGTGGTCCATCACAGGAGCTTGGAGCTACCTTACAACACACACAGGGGAGACCATGTGGAGCAAAAGTAGCCACCTCCAGAAGGAAGGACTATGCCAGCACAAATTCAGAGACGATTTGAGGATCTGCAGCCGAATGATGCAGATACGTTACATTTGTATTAATAGTTAAGGTACTTGAATGCCTTTTTAAGACTTAACTCCTGCATTTTGTGTCACTTTAAGATTTATAAAGCTTAGATAACACTTGTTGAAATGATATTACAATGTTAAAGCTTAGATAGGATTTTAGTGATTGGGTTTAGATCTACTCCAATGTCCTCAAAAGGGCCCTAATGATAGGAGAGACCCTACTACACATTTAAAAAGAAATTAAATATAGAAAAGCAGATTTTATTACCTTCTAATATCATAAAGCACACTTCTCTTTGTGTAAAAAAGCACTAACATGGTGTTCGGTGCTCAACCTTTCCCCTCTATCCCTTTAACTCACTGCTTAAAAAACAACCATTAGAGACCATACATTTTTATCTTATCTGCTAAGAACAGCCCTGCATTTAGTAGAAATAAGGAAAATGCACTCTTGGGAATGTTGCACTCCCTGGTGCCCTCCATATCACCACTACCACCAACTTAAAAAAGAAAAACAAAAAGGAGTTAAATATTTTCAACATTTTATTTGGTGATTAACCAGACTAGTAGAAATGACCTCCCAATCCATCTTCCATGAACTTTGTGAGAAAACCAAATCAAAGGGAGAGGAAGAATACAATTTGAATATTTATTTTGGGTTTTACTTCCATGTGACTATTGATACTCCAACATGTTAGAGGGCAATCAAGGTTGCCCACTGCATGGCATGCCATGCTATTTGAAGAAATATAAACACACATAAACTTTGTGCTACAAATATAACACGTTTTGTCAAAGTCTGGCATTGTCATTTATTGCAAATGTTTCACTATGGCTGCTTTCCTTTGGCTCATACTGAACTGTATGAATGTAAACATTTTTAAATGAATAAATACATTAAATGCAATGCAATTGATGCATAACTTATTTTGTAACCTAAAACAACCTTTCTGTTTCATTGTAAAGCCAAATGTGATTTCCTTGAACTATCACAAAAGTCAAATGTTGCTTCAGTGTAACTATGACACCCATGTAAACAAAGGGGGTCTTGTGTACAGACCAGTAGAGCTTTACCTCATTCACTAAGCTACTGGTGTCTTTTGTTCTACCCCAGCCTATGTATTGGATAGTAAAGGAGCAGCAGCAGAATGATAAGGCAATCACTTTGTTCCCTCTACTCTCTCCTCCTATCAGCATGTTTCTTGTCTGCACATTTGCAAGCAGCATATCTGTTTGGTTGCCAGTGCTGCCTCTTCCCATCCCAGGCTAAGTGCTGCTGTATAGGAGATTGCAGGAGACTACTAGCAATTCAAATTCAATTATTTACACTAGTTGAATTTAAAAAAAAATAATTTCATGATTTATTAATGGGTACAAAGCTACATTCATTTGTGTCTTTTATATCTGCCTAAAGTTCAGCTTGAAGTTTTCCGAAATCCTTCTTATGCATATTTTTTATGGCAGAAGTATATACTTTATTCACAATGCTTCTAGTGGCATTGAATCACAATGCAGTTTTGGTTTATCTTGCCAGTGCAAAAGAAGAGAAATCAGTCCACTTGTTTTATCTTGTTATCAGTCAGATTGTGATTTTATGGGTTTTGTTTTTAAATCCATTTCTGTGCAGTGCCAAGGTGTTTTGGTTTTTCTTTTGCTGTTTTGTGCAATAAACATGCTTTTTAATTAACAGCATTCTGATATGCTTATAATTCTAGATAATTTATGCAATGGAAAATTCCACAAACATCTCCAGGACCTGTTTGCTCCACTTGTTGTCAGATATGTCGACCTCATGGAATCCTCAATTGCACAATCAATTCACAGGGGCTTTGAGCGTGAATCGTGGGAGCCAGTAAAGTAAGGAACCCTTTGATACAATCGGAGTTTTGTAGCAGATGGATGGAGGTTCTTACTCAAATGGAAATATTCATTCTATATTCTCACCAGGCCTAAATCGTCTGCCAGCATTTTTGTGCCACATTTAATGTGTTAATCAAAATCAATGCTGAAAAACTAGGGTGGTTTGACTTGATGTGTTTTTTTAATGTAAATCTAATGGTGACAACATCAAAAATTAATTGTAAATTATAAGATTTGGTAAAACCTGACCTTGATAGAACTACATGTTCATTTGTTCTCTTAGCTCACTGAATATTAAGTTATACAAGCAATTTCTTATGTGTAATGTAGAAGTTAAAGATTTTATTTGTTTAAATTTAATCATTTTTCCATTGTTTTAATATAATTTTACTTTCTTACAACTCTCAGTGGCACTTCATTTTTTCAAGTAAACACAAGCCCCAGAATGCACTAATAGCTCCTGTCATGCTGGGACTTCTTTTTCCTTAAAGTGTATTTCAACTTTTGCAGTCAAATTTGAGAAAACCCCTCTATATGTTCGTTATGTGTTCCTATTTACACAGCATACTGAAAAATAACTTTTTTTAAAAAAAAGTCTTACCTTTTAGATGTTTTGTTACAGGAGGCAAGATGGCTGATCCCAGGTATTTCTTAAGCCCTTTCACATTGGTCTGTCCTTATAGAAAGACTTGGGACTGAAATTTGAGGATTGTGTTTATCTGCTAAGCTTCATTAACATACAATGGGCAAGCCACCTTAGACTCCTCACCCCTCACAGCCACTCCTAACATCTCAAAGAAATAGAAGCAAGAAGAAATTGTATCCCTTAAAACCCTAACCCGTGTAAAAACAATTTAAACTGCAAGAAGCATTTTTTTTAAATTTAGCTTATGCTATGTAAATGGGAACATGTAACAAATATAAAATAGGTGTTATCCCAATTTTGCTGTGAAAATGGAATACACTTTGTGTATGTGTATGTTTGGGGGGGGAAAAAACATATTCAATACATCTTTGTAATACAGGTATATTTCCCCATGTTTTGGCTCTTTGTAAACCCTGCAAAACATACCCATTATTCCCGACAGAAGTTCAGTGTGCTCTTCACTTCCAGTAGTGAGCTGACGGCAGTGCATTGCTGCATTGAAATCCGAAGCGATCTTGTACACCATGTCTAAGTACTCCCCTGGACTTCAAAATACCTCCTCCCATTATGTTATGGAGATGACAACAATATTTGGGATTGGGATTTCAGTGCAGAAGTAACCAGTGCCAGTCCAAACAGCATGTTGGAACTCACTATATATCGGGCAGATTAATAGGTATTTTTCAGTACTTGCAGCATTTGTAAGAGAGAAAACATGATGAAAATGTGCATGCTTTGCAGAGATGCCTGGCATCTTTCTTTAAAATCAGACATACACTTGAAGAGTTGGCTAACTAAGTTTCAGGGTGAACGTATAAACTACCTTATCTGCTGATGTGTCCATTTACCTTTGGTGAGGAGGTTTTACAAAG